GGGTACCTGGAGGTGTTGAGCAAGGCCTGGATGGAGGAGCGCCAGGCAAGCTGGAGCCAGGATGTAGCGTTGAGTGCCATGCGGTCAGGGTTTAGAGATTTTGCGCGCGAGTTCGTCACCCATATTGGGGGCGAAGTGAAGCAATTGAGAGATAATGTAGGGAAGTTTTGTGAGGGCGCCATTCAGGGTGCCAAAGCTGTAGCCGCTGTAGAGGGAGATGCCAGACCCCGTAAGGACCCAGTGAAACTCAAGTTCCCAGATGCGTACGGGGGGAAGAAGGAAGAGAACTTTGACAACTGGGAAGCCAGTGTCAACAGTTATATTTACTTGCAGCATATCCTAACAGAGGAGCAAGTCCTCGTGGCCTTCCAGGCCCTGAAGGACGAAGCGGCTAGCTTCGCCAGGTCACTCGCGCGTACAGCCGGTTGTGAAAACAACCTGGTTGCATATTCCAAAGTCACTCCTCTTTCCCAATTCAGATGAAACAGCAGGAGCACTTGCAGTCAATTTGCCCTTTTTGATGGGCCCACCCCATTCCACTACTGGGCCTTCACCAACACCCTAAATTTTCAGAGAGGCTCAATCATGATTCTCAAGTTGGCTGGGGCCATGTACTGGTGGTTTTAGAGGGTTGGTTTGATTTATTTCAGGTTTGCTCATGAATGAGAGGGACCCCTGGTACACACCCACCCACCACTGTACCAGTCAAGATGGTTCTTTTCAGATCCCCAGTGCTGACAGAAAAACAGCAAGTTAGCGGATATCATAAAGGGAAGGAAAGGGGGGGGGAGGGGGGGACACACAAGCCATCAACCAGGTGTGCAAGAAAGCAAGCAGGTTGCTTCCGGGATGACTGTGAGGATTCTGGGCCTCATGATTTATCATTTGGAAATAAACGCTACATCTTAAAAATAAATAAATAAATAATAAAAGAAAGGTAGTGTTTCTGACAAAAACAAATAAAAAACAGCGAGCAAGTGCACAAGAAAGCAAGCAGGCACTCAAGCAAATCAAGCAGGTGCATGAGCCACAAAGCAACATCACTAGTATTATTACTATCTATACTCAAATTTAAGCAAAACGCAGGTCTCGTGTGCTGCTCCCCCACGAGAACCCGCTGCCTGTGTTTCGAATCTGTGGATGGAGAGCAAGCAGGTCCGAGGCGTGATGGAAGTTCGGGTGGATCTGCACGGAAAGTTGCGGCCCAGTGGGGGACCACAAATCCAGTGTGAAGTTTACCGGCATGTATTCAACAATGTATCCGAAGTCCTTCCTCCTACTGGCGCTCAGCGCCCAGACTACAATCATACAGCTCCTACACTAGCCTATCCTAATGACGAAGCAACCAGATGACGTCAGCAGCAGCAACCAAAGTTGATTAAAGTTGATTAAACTTAAAAAGCAGTCTGTGAAAGGGTAAGCCTGAAAAACCAAGGCATGGATGCATCAAACATTTATCAGTAAAGTGGAACAAAAAAGTATTACGATTATCAGAGGCTCTATGATGCACTCACGTTGAAGGAATGTAAGCCGAGCATTCTCCTTGTTTTCGTCCTGTCGGCTTCTTAACAGCTGTACACTGCACAAAATCAAATGCAAAGAAACCAGAGGACCAGTAGTCAGCAGTACATTCCACAGCCTTTCCTGGCCCCCCCCCGGTCTCTCTCTCTCTCTCTCTCTCTCTCTCTCTCTCTCTCTCTCTCTCTCTCTCTCTCTCTCTCTCTCTCTCTCTCTCTCTCTCT